AAGAGACCTGGAAGATAACCCTTGATGCCGCCCTCTGCGTTAGCCATGGCCTCCCAAATGGCCAAATTCCCCTGGCTTCCTTCGCCTTCCCTAGGCTCGCGATTGCTCAGTCTCCTTCATTTATATGAGAGAAAAGTGCAGAATTAACATTAAAAGAGAACATAAATCAGGGATTGCTCAGTCGCCTCTTCGTAATCCTTTGAAGAGGGTTCTAATGTCCGCCAAAAATCCACTTTGAATTAAAGACAAAACGCTTGGAATCTCCCCAAATATTAATTCTAAACATATTTTCCCAAAAAAAAAAAAGTCTGTAACAATGCCGATGAAGACGGTTCGAATATCAGCTAAAAAGTCCACTATAAATTAATAGAATATAATAAATCTCATCAATCCAGATTAAGTAAATAGTGAAACATAAAAGTTGAAAAAAATTTAGTATGATTGTTTTCTAAGGCGTTGTCGGAAGCAACGCACTGTATGGACTGAGTATAGCCAGAAGTACACAAGAGCCGTTGCATCGACGCTTGGGTGTAATGTTAAGTAGGCAAAGATTTTCGTATTATGGACGGATGTAAGCAAAAAAGTCTTCTCGGCAAAGAATTCTGGCTATTAGTATAGCAATTTGATACGTCGTCAAACAATTATCTTGATCGGGCACGAGTCTCGATGCAGAATCAAAGTTGGAAACTTCAAAAATTAAAATTGGAACTATCCAAACTTCGATTTCAGCAAACTTATAGTCAAACTGAGCGTCTCAGAAATACGAACCCAACGACACCAAATTCAATTCAATTCGAGCCCAAATGAGTACAAATCAAAGACCCAAAGCGCTGTTGGAAGGTTCAAACCACAATTTGGGTTACCAAACGGTTTCCAAATATGACAATCTTATAGTCGAATCGAGCGGCTCGACGAGACGAATCCAACGAGCCCAAGATCACTGAATTCTGAAATCATTAAAACCTTCAATTGTCTGACGAACGACCCACAATCAAGGGATTCAACATTGGCCGTCTATTGAACCACTCCCCAATTTATCCTTGATCTCTCACCTATTTACGAGTCATGTCACTCCTAAAATCTATAAATAGACCCCTCATTCCTCTTGAAAAGGGGACCAAAAGCAAGAAGAGAAGAGAAGAAGAGAAGAGGAGAATAAAAGGAAGAGAAGGAAGAAGCTCCTCCTCGACCACCGCCGGAACCTCGCCGGACCACCGCAGTAGCCTCTACCACCAATCGTCAGCCTCCGCTGCATTTCATCGTCTACCGCCACCGTCGTCTTCCATCGTCTACCGCCACTGCCATCAACCATCACCGCCCCCACCGCCCCCACCGCCGATTATCGTAGGCCACCAACACCATTGGCAGCTTTCGATCACCACTATCTTCAAACTTTTTATTATATCCATTTTATTTCAATTAAAAAAAAATTATTTGCATTTCTTTTACTCTCGTTCAAATAACTGAAATATAAACGGCTAAATAAGTGAATTTCCTCTGTCCCTCCTTTAAGTTAGTAATTATATATACTATTTTTTCTATTATAAAAGGGACTTGAGTGTTTTTTTTGGAAAATCATCAGTTACCGACTCTATTTTCGAGCGATTTTCTGGTGGTCAAATTTTCGGCGGTTTTCCGACGGTCAATTTTTCATCGATTTACTATCTCATCTCAAATGTTAGAATACATTAAAACAATTCTGTTTTTCGTTTTATTACTGGAGCCAAGAAAAACTGTAAGATCAAAATTAATAATGCAAAAGACACGACGAGTGAGGAGCGAAAGGGAAACCGAAAGCCATGCTCGAAGTTGCTAGTCGCAACAGAGGAGCAAAGGGGAAAATGAAGTAGGCCGTTTGGGTCGAGAGAAAGCAAGCCATTTGGGAGTGGTCGTCGTTTCGGCCTGTAATATGATATTGTAGCGAGAGTAAAATTTTTTATAAGAAAGTTATTGTGAAATTTAGTAAGAAAACTATTCTGAATAAAGCCTAAAAGATATTATGGCATGTTAAATCATAAAATTATTAGGTCTTATTTTTTTATGAAAATATGCTAATTTTCTTATGTAAACTAATCCTCCGCACTTAAATTTGCTTTAAAATGAGTACAACACATAAACAAATTTAATTAAAATGTATATTACACATATCTCAAAATAAATACAATACTTTTAATATCCATTTTGACAAAAAATTTGATCAATAAATTATATAATTATTTTTTATGAATATATTACATGCAGTAAAAATGATGACTGAATAATTATAATTTGTACCTCAAGCTCTTACTTTTTTTTATATAAAATTATTTTAATCTCTTATATCACTTGTAGCCAAGAAAAAAAAAAACTTAATAGGATATAATAAATCTTATCAATCCAGATTAAGTAAACAGTGAGGCATAAAAGTTGAAAAAAATTTTAGTATGATAGTTTCTAAGGCATTCACAAAAAGCGACGTGCTGCGTGGACTGAGTACAGTGAGAAGTGTGCAAGAGCCGCTGCATCCGTGCTCGGGTGCAATGTTAAATAGGCAATAATTCCTACATCATGAGCGGATGTGGACAAAGAAGTTTTCTCGGCAAAAAATTCTGGCTATTATATCGATCATGAGGCTTCGATCGACCACCATCAGACCATTGCCATCATCTGACTCCCACAACCCAATCAATGTTATTGGGTTGTCTCTTACTCTTGTAATATTTTTATCTCCAAACAAAGAGGCTAATCTTTGTAATCAACTCTATAATGAAAATATTTTCGGTGTTTACCAGGGGTTTTCCACGTAAAAACTTTGGTGTCTCTTATGAACGCTACACCCTCTCACTTATCTGATTGTGTGCTGGATCTTCGTACAACGCTAAGACGTTAAACTATATGTTTCTCTACCGCCGCGAATATTCCAGGACGCAACAATAATGAAAATATTTTAGGTGTTTACGGGGCATAGTTTTCCCCATTTTAGAGTTTTTTCATATAAAATCAATGGTGTTGTTCGTGTTCTTATCATTTATCTATTTGTATGATTGATATTCGTAAAAATCTAGAACATAAAAACTCTCTCATTATGCCGTTACAAATTTTCTTACCCGTAATAATTGTCATGATGATAATACCAAAAATAAAATCTTAGATTTTTTTAAATACTTAAAAAATTCAAAAATGGATATTTATCATTTTTTTTTCTTTAAAATTTTGAATTATTTAAATAATGCTTGCTTTGAAATAATAAAATGCTGAAGTAAATGAATTTGCTATCTTCCTTCTTCCTTAAGTTAGATACCTCATTTGTCACCAAAAAATTTCTTTGGTTCAAAATTCTTTTAGTAAAAAAATTGTTTTAGACATCAATGAAAAATTAAGCTGAAAAGCATCATTTTTTATTACATTATTGGGGGAATATTTTTTTGCTTTAACAAACGTTTCTATCTTTTTTTTTTTTTTTCCTTTAATTTTTTTATTGAGAAGCCTCCACTTACACCCTTACTGCCAATTATATTCTTGAAGATAAATTCGTTGATTTAGAAAAGTTTCATATGGAATGTGTGGTTACAAATATGGGTGTAGATGAGCCGAGCAGGATCGAGTTCGACTCGTTAACAAGCTTGCAAGTCGAACTTATTGACTTTTGGGATTGAGCTCGAGCAGAATTTCAAGCACATTGGATTATCGAGCTCGAGTTTGATCCATATAATGCTCGACTCGAGTAGGAAAGCATCGGTGCGGGCTCAAATGAGGAAGACAGAACAACGAGACGGGCCACAATTACGAAATCGATAAGCTCGCGAGCTGGCATCCACTCTCGTGAGCAGAGCTCGAACTCAAGCTCAGCACAAGTGAGTTTCGAGTTCAAGCTCGGGATTTGGCTCTCGAGTCGAGATCGAGTTAGGCATATAATATTCAAAAGTTACCCTAATCTTAATACATATCGAAGGACAATGAAGCCTACATGGATATATATTCCATCATAATTTTCTACCATATTTCTTTCCCTTTATATCAATCCTCCAATTGCAAATGGAGTCACAACATATAGGAAAAAAAAAAAAAAGATAGTTGCTGTTTATATATAAATAATTATATATTTATAAAGTAATATCCTTAAATAAATCACAACCATTATCCAAAGCGTATAATCACTTGAATAAATATAATTTAATTGTGCACATAATCACTTTAGTACTTTGCGCACCACATCTTTACCTATAGGTGGTATCAAAAATGTTTATGATTCACAAGCCGATCGATTTTGACTCACTAAGAAAATTATGCTCGACACAATCGTTAAGCGAATCGAGTGTGAGCATACATTTTAGGCTTTGTTTGGAACAAATTTCTTATTGTTTTCTAAAGAAGCTTTCTAGAACAAAAATTCAATTTATTTTTACTAAAAAGCATCTTTAAAAAGCAATAAAAAAGACGTCCCAAACGAATCCTTACTCTCATTTTTGTGAGTCCGGACGACAAAAATCATCAGACATGTGAGTGTACATACTATATACAAATTTATACACAGTGTATATTAAATATATGTTTACATTGTTTATGCACAATATGTACACTCACAATCCGAACGATTCTTTTCATCTGAACTCCTCATAAAATAATTTCTCCTGTTTGAGATGACTATAATTTTTTCTGAAGTTGATAGTAAAGTTGTTAAGATAAAAATAATTTAGCTATTATAAATTTATAATAAAAAAAAGCAATTTTTCACCCCAAGAATTTTGAAAATAGTGAGAAAATAACAAAAATAATAATAATAAGCAAACAAAATTGTAATTGACGTTTGAAAAATAAAATAATGAGAAAACTACTTCTATTAGACCCTAAGTCTTCTGATATTTTGTTCTTGTTTTTTTTTTTTGAATGATATTCTTGATCAAAGCATTATTTAACAAAAAATCTTATATTATTTTATTTACAAATTGGTATACTCATATATTAATAAAATTTTATAAATTATTTCAAAAGAAACCTAATAGGATCATTTGAGCATGCGATTTAAAGTAGCAATGATCGCCCATCTTCATCAACTACTAACAACAAGCTTCAACACAGTTTAGGATATCAAGCAGATCAACGAAGACAAAGAAGAAGAAAGAAATCAACATTCAGAGGTATATGAGAACAAACCGATAGCAATTAAGTTCAGCTCACAACAGGAAAATCCCTTCCGGCTCTTCTCCGATTCTCGTCCACGACCGGAACCACCTGCTCGTTGATGAAGTCTCCGCCTCTGAACCCGCTCATCATGAACGACTCAATCACATCTGCAGGATTGCTCGCACGCCTCATATGGTGATCATATCGCAAAGCAGCAGACCCCACAATGCCCTCCGCCGCTGCCCCCTCTGCTCCTCTCGCAGCCTCTAACTCCTCCACCTTCTTCAGTCGCCTCCTCAGATCATTCAACTCCTTCCCCGCCGCAGTCGGGTGGTCGCTATAGAACAAACCCTCTTTCAAGATTCTGTACGCGGGGATCCCGCCTGCAAAGTGGACAATCGAGATCAATCATCATCGGTATGGAACGAGGCCATGAATTCACACCTCAAGATGCTAAAAACACGTTTAATCTCAACCGCGGATCAATATAAAAAATCTGTGACCTAAAACTAACCTGGGCAAAGCCCTCTTTCTACTCATACGGAAAAAAATCCTGTACTAGTAAATATGCTCTTTCGGTTTTACGATTAATCTTCCTCTCTGTTTATTTTTCCTTTTGTTCTCATGGATCGGAGAAACCTACCTGTGTATGGTCGGGTGCCGTACTCTAGGGCATGATCAAGAAGATTCAATGTGGTGCGGGCGATCCGATTCGGGCCATCTGGGTCCGATAAGGCGGTGGAGATCTGACGCGGGGCATCGACGCGCACGGTCCGGTAAATCCAGGAGGCGGATCGCCGGCAAATCGCGGAGGCTGCGGAAAGATCCGGCGAGGCGGCACGAACAGCATTGACAGTGGCGGTGCCGAGGCCATAAACGGAAGTGCAGGCTTTCTTCATAGGGGCCGGATCTGGAAGCCGACGCCTGACGCCGTCGGCAGTGGAAGCCATCGCCTCCCAAATTCCCATAGCCTCGCCTCCTCCGCCTCCCTCGTTTTTCCCCGTAGCTTCGGGAATGTTAAAGCTACAATTTCAAAATATAATCCTAAAAAAGTACCATGAAATAAATTATTCAGAGAGAAGTGACTGGTAAATGTATGATGAAATAAATTATTTTATTAATTTTCTCAAAAAAAAAATATTTTATTAAAAATATTTAATATAAAAATATTTTCTTGAAAATCTTTGAATTAGTAAAGTAATGCTTATTTCGAAATAATGCATAAATAAATGAGTTTTTAGGAGCAAGTTGATTTAATGTTTTTGAATTAGAATATTTAAAATGATTAAAAAATAATGAATTATTTGATGGAATTTAAATTAAATGTATTGAAATATTATTTTTTATTTGTTATTATATATTTTAAAAGTATTGAAATACACTAGGAAAGGACTGTGGATGACATAAATAGAATGTGCGATGACGGCGTATGGGACAGGGGTGTCAATATTTGACACGACCCAAAAACCCATTTGAACCCGACATGAAAATTTCGGGTTAGGCTCAATTTGGACCCAAAATAGGTCGGGTTTGGGTTCAAATCGACCCGTTTCAAAAATCGGATCGGGTTCGGGTTGACTCAGTAACCCGAAATTGACATGAAAATTTGAGATTAACCAAATATTGTCCCGAAAATCAGAGATTGACATGTTTTTTTACCCGAAAACTAGCAATTTTTTATAAGTCCTGGGTCATTCGAGTCGTGTCGGGTTGACCCGGACCTGAAGCGGATCAAATTCGGGTCCGAAAAATCGATCCGTTTGTAAAAATGGGTCAGGTTCAAGTTGACCCGAATAGTATCAGGTCAATTTTGGGTTCAACTCGAACCCGACCTGTGACCATAAATTGACACCCCTATTATGGGATGGGGTGCAACATAGTCGACATGGCTCAAGCGGGGATGGGGAGTGCTCTCAATGACAATGGGTGGCGAGTGATGGTGAATGACTGTAGCGAGTAGTGATAGTGTAAGGTCATGTGTTGTGAGCATTCGTTGCATTTGGAATTCACATCATTGGGAAAAATTATTAGGTGCGGAGTGTGGACCGTCCGCACACCGTCCGCACAAGCACAGGGTACCAAGCGGTACCCAGCGGTACTGAGTGGTACCTAGCTTGGTACCTTATACTTGTGTGCGGACGGTTCTCCCCGTCCACACTCCGCACCTAATAATCTCTCATATGCAAGGCCTTAACGACTCGAACATAAATTTATACATTTTTTAGTTAAGGGAATATAAATTCCAACATCCAATGGGAATAGATAGATGAAATATTTAATGACATCACTATCTACCATTAGATCAATTAGGTTTAAATTGTCCTTGTTATTATCAAACATTGACATCTTAAATATTGAGAGAAGCATCTTTGATGTAATTTGGAGTGATTGAGAGTCATGTCTGATTATTTTTAAATATCACGTCTTAATAACATTCTTATCATAGCAAACTTAGAGTTCCAACAATGTTTTGAATTTTGTTGATGAGTTAACCATCAATTTGTTGAAGCTAATATGAAATGCCATAATCATAGTGTTTTTTTTGTGATTACAGTTGTGGCTCATAGCTTGGTTTTTATTTTAAATCATGACTCCATGCTCATCATACATGAAAGAATGTTGCACCCTAATACGTCATTAAAAATCTCCTTGATTAGACAGGAATCTCGAGGTTTATCTTAATAGGAAACATTCAAAATTAAATATGGGATTATCTGAACTTCGATCACAACAAACTTAGAGTTCAATTGAACGTCTGGGTAAGATGAATCCAACAACACTAAAATTGGTCTAATCTAAGCCCAAATGGGCTCAAATCAAAGGCTTAAATCATATTTGGAAGCTTTTGAGTATTAATAGGATGACAAAATCAAGTGAGTCCAAGATCATCTCATTCTAAGGATTAGACTATGTGTTAAAGATCAAGAGAGCTGTGAGGTTTGAAGAAACCTGGAGCTCCACCTGTGCACCGTCGTTGGCCAAGCCTTGCTGCCCAATCATCCCCATTGGACTTTCACTAGCTGATCATTGTCAGACATCCACATGATCACCAACACCGGGCCTCAGCGAGGTTGTCGTCTTCATACTTCACTCGACAATTTACGTTGGACCTCCGCCTGACCATCTTTGTTAGACCGTAGTTCCGTCGCCGCCATTAGGTCTCCGTTTGACCTCTGTCACCCGTCACTACGATCCATCTAACCACCATCACATGACAACAGTCTCTCCGACCACCGTCAACCACCGACTACAGTCTCTTCAATCACATTCTCTTGACTACAGTCTTTCGACCTCAGTCGCCCGATAATTGTCCCTCTAACCTCCTTCACCTGACAACTACGATCCCTCTTAACTTTCATCGCTCGTTTACAATCCCTCCGACCTCGTTGTACATAAATGACCTACTATTTTCCTACCGACCAAAATGAATAGGCCAACATTCTCTTGAGAATGACTCTCATGTCATTTGATTCTTCCAACTCTAACCATGCATTATACTTTACATGATGTATATTTAGACGTTGTTCCAACATCTTCCTCCGAGAAAAGATATCATTTATAATCAATGACAAACACCAGTGGATTTATTTTAATTTCACTATCCCCATGAATTTTTCCCTTTTATAGTTTCAAAGTAAAAATTATAGTATCTTTTATGATTGTTATACATATCTCTCTTATCTGTATGTGTGTTAGATCTTCATACAAAATTAAGATGCTAAACATTATATCTCTCTACCATGACAAATGTTCCAAAACGCAACAAATCCAAAATTATTTTATAAGAGGCTGTTGAAGCCCACTTGAAGATACTAATCAAAATCAAATGATGTGAGCATAAGTTAATAATACTTTCTTTGGACTTTTATACTATTTTTAGAACTATTGTAAGAGAATCTCAGTTGAACTTAGTAAGAGTACATGAGTTAAAATAAGATGGAAAGGAGAATAGAGAGAGAGATAAAAAAAATACATATATTTTTTTGCAAAGAGTTAGAAGTTGAATTACGTAGAAACTTGTACAATTCTTTCAAATTCTCTTCTAGTCCTCCAACATGCCTTTAATTCGGCAAATTATTACGTCCGATGTCCGGATTCGTCCGGACACCAATCCAGACGCTCACACGTCACCAAAATACGTCGGGACCTAATTGATACGTCATCACAAAATTAGCTTGATTGGGCACGAATCTCGAAGCAAAAGCTAGTTGGAAACTTCAATAGATTCATTTTAACATAAATACAATATATATGAATAATCAATTAATTTTTATATATTAGCTATCTCAAAACAAATTCAAAATACTTAAATTTCGATCAAAATAATTAAATTTAATTTCATAAAAATGTAATACATAAATAATATTATAATAAACTCATCTCAAAATAAAATCTAACTATTTTGAGACCCATCATTACAAAATTAGACAGAATGCCCAACCAAATTATATATATATATATATATATATATTTCATGTGCATCTTAAAGTTCTTGAACTGCTTTGAGATGAGTGCAATATAAATTTTGATTGTGTAGCTCTATATCTTACAATAATCTTACAATATTTATGGAAATTTACATACATACTACTTTATACTATTCTATTTATATATGTAACATCCTAAATTTTAATATTACATATATACCACCTTATATTATTTTAATATCAAATACGCCCACATATTTCATTCCCACCACCCATATAATTCATTCCTACCACCCATATTTGATATAAAAGTGAAATATGAGTGATATGAATGTAATATTAAAATTTCAGGTGTTAAATATATACATAAAATAGTATATAGTAAAAAAAAAATTGTACTAGAAAGCCGCTGTAAGAAACAGGAAGAAAACCGTCCCAAACAAAACCTTAAAGTCATTGAACTGCTTTGAGATGAGTGCAATATAAATTTTGATTGAGTAGGCCTATATCTTACAATAGTTATAAAGAAAGTGAACTGGGAATCAGGAGTTGAATAGCAAGAAGACCACTTCTCAACAAAAGCAATTTATGCATCAAGTAAAATTCTAGAGTTTCAGACTTGATAGATAATCTGAAGAGAAAACTACATAACCAAATGAGCAGGAAATAATAAGTCTTCAAATACAAGAAATTACCCCCAAAAAAGCCCTATAATAAATCTTCATGCCATATCCAAGCAAAAAAAAAAAAAATACTATAAGTTGAACTTTTGATCATTACCTCTTCAGCTACTCTCTCTCTCTCTCTCTAAAGCTGGAGCTAAATTTGGCAGAGAATCTTGAACAGCAATAGCCTCCTCTTCAGTTGGAAGGATAATCTTCACTAGTCAATCTTGACTGAAGAGAAGAGATAGTGAACGAAGTAGAAGGATATCAGGAAGCCAATAGTGCCTGTTACTAGCATTACTGCAAAAGCCATGATAAGAGAATAGCCAACATATAGGATGGCTGAAATAGGTCCACTCAAGCTGCTTAAGTCAAATATCAAGTAATTGATGGAGTAGAGGAAGACATATAGGGCCACTGAACCAGAAGCATAGAAAGCCTTCCACCACCACCTCCAGTCCTCAACACAAAGGTGCATATATGTCAGTACCACAGAAACTTCAGCACAGACAATGACAAGCAGAAGGAAGACAACCAGGAGAAACCCAAAGACATAATAGAACCTCCCAAGCCAGATGCTGGAGAGGATGAAGAAGAGTTCTATGAATAGGGTGCCAAAGGGGAGGGTTCCGGCCCCGAGGACGAGAAGCCATGACGGGTATTTACGAGCCGGGATTTCTCTTGGAATCTGGTTTGTTCGAACCGGATATTGTATGTGTTCAGCTTTAGTGCCGAGAAATCCGCCAAGGAGAGTAAGCGGCACTGAAATGCAGAACCACATTGCTAGGAGAGTGAAGAACAATGAAATAGGGATGGCTCCTGTGCTATTGCTACCCCAGAGAAAGAAATTTATGATTGTTAAGATGAGAAATACAATTCCAGAAAAGAAACAGGCAATTAACCAGGTTAAGGACCTCCATCCTTCCGATCCGCCTTTGATAGTTCTCCATAGTCGTACGCCGACATAGCCTGCAGCAATGCCGAGGAAGAGATAGAGAACAATCATTCCAGTTAAGAGCATTCCTCGCGAGGCAGGTGACATGAACCCAAGAGCGGCGAAAACTATTGTTACGACAGCCATCCCGGCAATCTGAACACCATCTCCAACCATAATGCAGAGAAGCTTTGAGCAGCTTGGCTCTCTAAAGACATCACCAACCACAAGCTTCCAGCCTGAGAGTTCTTCATTCATCTGAGCCTGGGATTCCTTATCCAATTCTTCATATCGGGTCAAGTCTCTTCTCACTGTCCTCAAGAATATAACAAAGACTATACCAGCCAAAAAGAAGATGACCATGAGTGAGTTCATGATGGAGAACCAGTGAACCCTAGCACCCTCCATCTTCAGATAAGCATCCCATCGCGAGGGCCACCTTATATTACTTTTCACAAATTCAACGTCGTAGGTAAACGTTATTCTCTCTTGCTCACGAATAACCTGACAGTTATCGAGCTCTGAAGGACAGATTGTTGGATCAATCTTATCATACATGTTTAGCTTTGACATGATTGCAGGATCCCTTTTAACACTGCATGGGATTACCTCAAATCCCACAATTTCATAACCAGACATTTTATTCTTATCAGTCTCTGAGATAACTCCCATCCCTTCTTCCCCAGTGCCGATAATCTCCACACGTTTACCTTCATACTCATGAACCATAACTTTGAATTTCAGGTGATTAATGATACAGTCATCATTGCTACCAGTTAGTGAGTAGCCAACAGGGAAACCAGTCCACTGGATTGTGACGCCGTTCTGCTGAGTTAATCTCATGACAGGAAGATTATCAAGAATCATATTCACCTGATACAGATCACGGGTTCTCTGTTTCAGGAGCTTTACCTCATGCTCACTCAAAGCTTTGGTAGTACAGAGGTAAATTGATTCACTGACATTAACATTGAACTTATAGGGAGAGTTGTCAATCTGGTCACCCATCAAGAGCTCTCCTAAATTTTCAGCACTTTTCTTGATCCCACCCTGGGGTTGACAGTAGGGAAGAGAGTAGTAGCTGAAAGGAAGCTCGGTCTCAATTGAGGTGAGGGAATTCACTTTCACCCATATGGATTCACCTTCGGAATAAGTGTGCATGTAGTTTCCCGGAAGATAGAATCCATTGCAAGGCCAAGCAAGAAGTTGCAGGAAGAAGAAAATCAAAGAAAAGGATTTCATCCTCATCAATGTAGCGACCAATTGAAAAGAGCACGGCTAGTTCCACTGATCAGAAGCCTCTTGATCTCAGATCTACCCTTAAAAATTCCAATTTCTACCGATTCAAAGTCATTGATCTATCTCCAGCTAATCCGGAACCAGATAACAGGAGAAAAAAGAAATTTGGATCTGCCAAGAGTTGAACTGGTCTCACAATTAAAGCATCGGATCTTAATCGATACCCATATAAAAAAAACCAAATTAAAAAAATCAAGTTACGAGAGATACATATTTTAGCAATTAATGCAGTTAATCAGTAACGCGAAGCAAGAAAATATAAACTAAAAAACAAGGACGCTCTTCATAAATCAAACTGATACATCTAGTCGTTAAATGCACATTCTTAACCGTAAAACCAAGATCCAATCTCGTTCTGAAACATTTATATTACAATATGCCCTAATTTTAAAGATCAAAACAGTTAATCGGCAAATTAATAGATTTACGCCAAGATAAAATCTCTTTCCCCATAAACCCCAGATCCTATCTCATTCAGAAATCATACGAATAAAAAAGCCCTAGATCCAATCAAACAAACATCAGAAAGCTACGATCTCAGACAAGGAGACTCACCTAATTCGTAAATCGGATAAAATTTGCTCCAATTCGAAGAAAACTGCTCGACGATGTCGACGGGAAGCAGGCAATGGATGCCCTCTTTGAGATCGACGAACTGGAAAATGAAAATTGACAAAGAGCATCAGCTTCCTCGGTCTATATAAAAATAGACCAGCCACGATTCTTCCATACGTTCTGCTGCTGCAGCTGAACCGGGTTCATATTAGATGAATCTTGACCGTTAGATTGATCTCCAGATCGCCGATCAAAACTGGCAGAACGTGGGAGGGACTACAACCGTGTAAATATTAAAAAAAAAAAATACATACATGCCCAGAAATATTTTATAAAAAAATATAAAATTTTAAATATTGAAGTGTCTTCTCTGCTATAGATAGATGGTATGCAAAAAAACAATAATTATATGATCCCATTGGAAATTTTCAAAAAAGTACTCCTAATCATAAAAAATTTCAAAAAAAAAAAGAGGAAAAATTTATAGCCACAAAGATTTTGAATGAACTTCATGAAAAATGTATTATTTTGCAAAAAATATAATAAATAAATAAATGAAATATAACCAATTAACATTAATAGATTAAGGCTTCGTTAGCGGCAGCTTTTTTATTACTTCTTATGTTTTATTTGGGATGACTTTTTATTGCTTCTTAAAATAGAGTTTTAGTGCAAGCTTTTTTATTGCTTTTTGAAATAGAGTTTTAGTACAAAAATTTTAAAATTCATTGCTTCTTGAAATAGAGTTTTAGTACAAAAAATTTAAAATTTTTGTAGTAAATTTTTTTTTAAAGAAGCAATAAAAAAACTGTCACAAATGAGGCAAATTATTCTGTGCGAACACCAAACGCTATCCAGAGACCAACCAAAATGCAACACGTCACCCCCGCTTGGTGTCATAGCTCGGTATCGTGCTCGGTATTGTTGACATGGCGCATTCTGGTTGATATTCGGAGGGTGAACTGTGTTCGGCGTCCGCACCAAATAATTTCTCCCTAAACGAAGCCTTAAAACAGAGTTCAAGTACAACAATTAAATAAAAATACGTTTTAAGAAACAATAAAAAAGCTGTCCCAGATCGAAGCCTAAGATAACCATAAATGAGTAAAAATGTCCACATTGGCTGAATGTTTAAACAATTCTAACAGTGGCAGCATGAGAAGAAAAGCTAAGCTTGCATCATCAATATATGATCTATGAACACTAAACCAGTTTGTCACCAAAATGGCTAAAGGGAGATTGAGGCTTTGTTTGGAACTGCTTTCTTCATGTTTTTTAAAGCAATGTTTTAGTAAAAAATTAAAACTTTTGTACAATAAAACTGTTTAAAGAAGCAATAAGAAAGCCATCCCAAACGAAGCCTGAATCTTTGAGAAAATTACTCTAATCAGTACCTGCTTGAGAAGAGCTAATGTTCTGTCATTAGGCTCCCAGATGTGGCATCAAGTTGGAGCCTTTTGTTAATCTAAGCTATGCTCTAATCTGAAATTCAGATGAGGAAATCATCAGTGTAAAGGTTTACTGAAAAGCCCTTGGCAAATTTCCGCAATGTTATACAGCTTGACACAGAGCCAAGACCTCTGCTGATCTCATCAAGAGATCCCTCCATCACCTTTTGGGTTTTAGCACAATTTCTGTGCATGAAAGCTGCTTTAAGAAACAATAAGGAAGTCATCATAAATAAAACTTTAATGTCAGAAGCAACTTAGAAAGGACTAAACTATAACAACACTAAGGCTTCGTTTGATTATTCTATATATTTTCTAAAAGGTAGTTTTAAAATTGTTGTTTGAGAGAACGAAATTTTCTAATGGAATAATTATTATCCGAAAAATTTTGAAAACAATACAAAAATACAGTTCTCTAAAAATCATTTATGCAAAAGTGGCACATACAAACAACAATAAAAAAAAATTCTATCGTTTCAAAATTGAAAAGGTAAAATTAAACCGTCTCAAATGAGGCCTAAGTAACATACTAATCAAAGAAATGGAACCACCGACAAACCGATTCTTAATTAAACCAAATTGAATCGACTGTAAACCATCAGTTTGTTTCGGTTTCTTGGTAATGCCCAAATTATGCACAACCTTGGTGGTCACACAAACCATAAACATCATTCTAGCTTATATAAACATGGAGCAATGCAGCAATAAAAAGTTGTTCTGGCACAACTAGTTTTCAAAGCAGACTAAAGGTTTTGTTTGAGACGATTTTTTTATTGCTTCATAAAACAGTTTTTTGGTACAAAATTTAAAAATTTGATACTAAAAAGCTGCTTTATGAAGCAATAAGAAAGTCATCACAAACGAAGCCTAAGTCGTTCAAAATGGAAAATTTTTAGTTCAGAAAAATTACCTGTCTATTTCAGCATTGCAGTCATTAGACACATCCCAACATCTATCTCTCAAGTTCTAACTTTGTTTTTACCACCTACACTCACCAGAAATCTCCACAGTTGCACAATCCTTCTTCAAAATGGTGAAACCGGCTCACATCTCTCACAGTGATTGCCCTCTTAGTGACTAATGTGATAAGTTTAATTGCAGTATGACAATCACCACAAACTCTCAAATTTTTTGTAATAAAAATGGGTTGATTTCCACTTAAACTCACAAGAGCAAACGCTATTGCTAACTTCTCACTGTGATAAACAAGAGCATTTTCTTTCTCCTCCTCTACCAAATCATGTATTACAAAACTTGTATCAGCCTTGTAACCGAGCTTCCTGATCTCAACAAATAAATCTGCAAGTTTTTCATTTATCATTGAAGATTGTGGGTGTGAACTATCTCCACCTATAAATGCATGGATTTTACCCTGAATCTCAACCCAGCTACAACCTGGACTTTTTCTAAACCCCTTCTCCTGTTGTAATATTCTAACTCGAGCTGCTTCATGATGTCTTCCAGCAGCACTGTATATGTTAGACATTAGAACAAAGTTTCCACTACCTTCAGGTCCTAGCCTTTGGATTATTCCAGAAACTTCATTTCCAAGTTCAGTATTCTTATGTGTTCTACAAGCTGAAAGTAAGGCACTCCATACTCGAACATCTGGTTCAAATGGCATTCTGGTAATAAAATCATGAGCTTCAGCCAATAAACCTCCACGTGCGAAAAGATCGACGATGCAGATATAATGCTCCATCCTTGGAACAATATTGTAAACCTGGGTCATAGATTCATACCAACTCCTTCCCTCAATGACCAATCCTGAATGACTGCAAGCACTAAAGAGGGATATAAATGTGATATCATCTGGTGTGAACCCCTCATCCTGCATTGAATCAAACAAAGAGAGAGCTTCTGCACCCAGTCCATGGATTCCATAACTAGCTATCATAACATTCCAAGTTACTGTGCCTCTTTCTTTCATTCCATCAAAAACTAGGCGAGAAAGGTCTATTTTCCCACATTTTGCATACATATCAATCAAAGCATTGCAAATAGAAACTTCCGATGAAAGTCCGAAAGTAATCGCATAGCCATGGCTGCATCTCCCATGCCGTAAAGCAGACATATAGGAACAAGCTGGGAGGACTCCTACCATTGTTGCCACATCTGGTTTCAAGCAAGAAAGTTGCATTCTCTTAAAAAAGGCAAGGGCTTCTTCTGCGCTTCCATTTTGTACCAATCCAGATATGATTGCACTGTAAGATACAGTATCTTTTAGATCCATTTCATTAAAGAAACAAACTGCATCACATATGCTTCCAACCTTTGCATACATTGAAAGAAGTGAATTGCCTACAGTTATGTCTGAAAGAAAACCAGACTTAATCAAATAACAATGGATTTTTGTACCTCTCTTTACATCAGACAAACTTGCACAAGCCCGAAGAACAGAAGCAAGAGAGGTGGCTGCCATGTTCGAAGCTTCATTAAGCTTTAGCAGATCAAAAATTACTAAAGCCTCCACCATCTTCTCACATTGAACATATCCCCCAATCATTGCACTCCAAGTCACCTCATTTTTAAGGCTTACTTTGTTAAATATGGTGCGGGCATAAGCCACTGACTCACACTTTGCATACATGTCTAGTATTGCAGTGTTCACCAGAACATCCCCTTCATCAAAGAATCTCCTCAGGCAAAAACAATGGATGCCCTTTCCTTGTAATAAAGCCTTGGCTTGTCCAATCACAGGAAGAATCCCCACCATAGTTGAACTGTTTGGACTAGTCTCTCTACTCTGCATTTCCAATAGAATTCCAACGGCATCATCATATAAGCCATGTAAGGAGCAGCCAGCAACCATGGCATTCCATGCAACCACATCTCTACTTTCGATTTGTAAGAACACAAGGCGTGCTTCATGCACTTTTCCACACTTCATGTACATGTCTATCAATGCTGTTGAAATATATACATCGCAATCCAAACCCATTTTCTTTGCATGATTATGAATCTCTGTTCCTTCTTCCACTGCAAGGAGAGTGGAACAGGCCTTTAGAACAAATGGAAAAGTGTACTTATTTGGTTTTATGCCAAAACCAATCAAATGATAATAGAGATCTATTGCTCGGTTAAAGGGTCCCTTCCAAGCGTAAGCCCTGATCATGGCATTGCACAGAAAGATGCTTGGCTTAGGAATTTCATAAAAAATGAGATGAGCAACCTCAATTTTGTTGCATGACAAGTACATTAAAGTTAGTTTCTCAAGAAGAGAAGGAAGATGGACATGGGCTTTGCTCCAAAGAATGTGTTGGTGGATTTTCTTGCCCTCTTCTAGCATTTTCAACTGAGTGCAATTCTCTACAATTCGGAAGTAGATGTCAGCAGAGAGACCTGAGTTTGGGAGTGGGACTTCTTTCACTGTTTTCTTTAGTTGGAGAAAGGCAGGAGATGAATAGGGCGAAGTGAGGATGAAAGAATGTAAGATTTTAGCACGAAAACCAATAAGACCATTAAAGAGATAGAAGAAATAAGGCCTTTTATGGACAAGGAAGCTTTTCATCAGTACCATCACCTTCTGCAAGATGCGGCTGTTGTACAATACATGCCATTAGATGGTCACGGCATGAAATAATAACAAAAATGAAGCAAACAAAGTCAAAATTGTAACTAATTTTCATTTATTCTATTGAATGGTCACAAAATTAGACTTTTGGTGACAACTGAAAATGTTAAGGCACATGAGAATATTTGATCCAATCCCATGTCGGATGGTTGAAAAATATCAGTGTAGAAATACCAAATGCTTGACCCTCTCCTATAAGCTTGAACCTTTGAAAAGAAGATTTTGATCAGTAGTGTATCAGGCCCAACTTGACTTCCCCATTGGGTTCATATTCCCAAATAAGTCGTATAAAAGTCAATTATTCATCTTTGACTAGGTGGTTCATGGGCATTTGATGATTTTTACCAAGGTTGAGCAAAGTTCATGATCAGGTGTTTGTGTGTTTGTATTCATCTTCCTCTTTTCTTCTTAAATGCATAGTTTATCAGGTGACATCAAAGCCTTGAATCTCATCCTTAGTTTCGCATAGGGGTGTAAAGAGTCCAGCCGAGCTCGAGTCACCCCTAGCTTAAGCTTGAGATTGATTAATTAATCAAGTTCGAGCTGACAAAGAGAAAATGATTAAGGAAATTATTATAATAAAATGATAAAAAAAGAGAAATTATATGAAAATTAATAAATAATCACTTAATATAAGAAATTGAGATATAATTTTTGAATATTTTCAACAATTTTGTACTTAAATTTCTGAATTTTGATATATTTTATGTATATTTTATATTCATATTTTTTGAACGATCAGGCTCACAAGCTAACAAGTCAAGTTGCGGCTAGCTCAAGCTTCGCTCGTTAGCTCATCAAGTTTGGGTCATGACCCAATTATCGAGCTGAGCCTGAGTCGGCTCACGAGTCAGCTTGACTCACTTACACCTCTAGTTAAGCACGCTCTATCCCCTACCTTCGACACCTCTCTATATGCATGCCTATGTTTGATTTTTCCTCCATCCAGACTCAACACTTAACCCATAGTCATTATATCACACAAACTGGTGCTACACACACCTCACCTCTTATACCAATGGCATAGTCCTCCCCCTCCCCACTTACTCGCTTCCCTCAATTACACAACATTTTCACCCCACAGGCCCGGCCATCAACCTTGCTAATTGTTGTAAACATGTCTTGCTCCAATTTGTTGCACTTCGTCTGCCTTCTATATCACTTTATACTGCCTTCCACTAGTCCCACCATTCCCATCATGAATATTCTCCACTCATAAAATAATAACGAATTCCTCTATTGATTCTTTGTTGTAGCTTTCACTTATGCCACTCACAATCCAAGTCCCTAAATGATGCATCCCTCATACTATTTGTCCTCCCATTATCAGCCCAAGCCCACATTGTAAACTACATGCAATTATCGTGTTTGCTCACCACATTGCCTTCTTCATTCCTAATTGTGTTCTCATACCTAAGCTCGTGTAATCTATATATACATCATATATTCCCTATTATGATCCTTAGAAAAAAAACCATTATGACAAGAGGGAACATAGATATTATTCTTCTTATCATGATAATTATGGTCCCTAATCTTTAAAACATCAAGAAGGCAAATTAGATTGTTCATATCATAATTGTTATCAATCAAACCCTAATGATAATCTATATTGCCATCCTTGATATCGTGACATTGATAAATCATATCATTACAATTATACATACTTTTGTAATGATATCCTAATTGATCATGATAGTCAAGCCCACTCTCATCTTCAATATTATATCCATCTAAATTCAAGCCACCATGATCAGCCTTCCCCGAAATTTCAGCAAGATCCCAGTCAAGTGAGGTCTTATAACTAGATATCTAATGATAACTTAGATTTGTGCCTAGGGAAAAATAAAATATCTAAATTTATTTCTTTATCCATTTATTCCAATCTCATCCTACTATCACTTCCTCCTTGTGTGTCAGAGCACTTAATCTTGAGCTTGATTACGTGTTTGGGAATATGTTTGAGCTATTCTCCTCAATAATTTTATCATTCAATTTTCTATCAAATATTCTCACAATCTCATTTCAAATGTTAATCATTCCAACATAAAATAAATCATAACCTGTCCCAACGTAATTGGATTTCCCCGTCCCATTTCATATTTTGAAAAAAAAACGATGTATAATTCCATAAATTCACGGTTTCAATAGCGGGCAACCTATCAATAATCCTAATTCCATTTTGAAAAACTAATATCTAAACAAGCAAATGGAGATAACGCCCTCCAACACCCAGTCAAAAATTCCTAGTCCAAACGGAAATAACAGTAACAAAATTTCCCCAAAACTATCTTACTGTGAAAAAAAAAAAACAGTAATATTACCTGATTCCACAAATCCCTCCAGATACTCAATGATAATGAGTTAATAAATTTTGCCATCAAATCCATTCACACAGGTCAAAAAGAAACTAATCATCAGTGAAATCCTTCAGCAAAAGCAAAAGATTCAATTCAAGCAAACAAGTGCTTCCCTATTTGATTAGAGAATCAGCGACTGTATGACTGTGACGGGCGGACACCATTGCTGCTCTTCCGAACAGCTTTGAACTAGACGGCGGTGACGGCGGCGACCTCAGAATATGTAGGATTGACGGCTGCAGAAACTTAGAACGAGGGTACGGCAGATGAAGACAGTGTTGAATCTTGCGGGGAAGATTCACGGAGCTGCCGAGAAGCTCTGAGACCGGACTTCCCCTCGTTTAGAACTCATCATATATATACAAAAACTGGCTAAACCACGCTGGACTTATAAAGGGAAAAACCAGTATATGTATTAGGTAGGAACTTTTATTAGACCCGGTGCAAGGACGTAGAGGAACTTTTGGAAGTAAAATCCCGTCAAAAAATTTGGTATTTGCTCGGTATTGTTAGGTATTATTTGATAATAACGAAGAATACCGCTTTGTGAAGATCAATACCGAGTTATACCGAGCTATAACGAGTTGTATATAACTCGGTATTGCTCGGTATAGCTCGGTATAACTCGATATTGGGTCTTCACGTGATGGTATTCCTCGTTATTGTTTGGTATTGCTCGGTATTTTCTCATTTTTTGGCGCGATTTGGCCTCCAACCGGACGTTCCTCTAAGTCCGATCGGAGGACGTAATAATAATTCATTAGGTAGGGTTCTGAAAACATTAGAATTTGGTTTGGAGTAAAAATAAAAAATCTTGTGGATAGCCTATAATATAAAAGAATAAAAATCATAGAATAATTATCAAAAAAATGTAATTAAACAACACACTTTCTTATAAAGTTTAAAAGAAAAGATTTAGGTTTTTTTTGGATAACTTTCTTACTGTAAATTTTTTTACTAGAAAATTATTTTAAAAACATTAAGAAAGCCCTCGCAAACGATGTCTTAGATTATCAACTTAATCATACCGGTTTTGTAGATTATTATCTCTTTATGAATTCCATGGTGAGTTTTCATGTTGAAATATTGCCACGCCAATACATGCAGAAAATGCACTATAATGAACTTCATTATACTATTAGGGGTCATTTGGGATGACTTTTTTATGCTTCTTAAAGTAGCTTTTTTGTACAATATTTTTAATTTGCATTATAAAGCTACTTTAAGAAACACTGAGAAAGTCATCTCAAACGAAGCCTTAGGTTTGATTTGGGACAGCTTTCTATTACTGCTTTTAACAACAATTTTTTAGTATAAAAATTTTAATTTTTGTACTAAAAATTTATTTTATTAAGCGATAAAAATGTCGTCCCAAATGAAGCCTTAGTCTTGTATTGACTTAGAAACTTTAAGGTTATACTTTTTTGCCTTGCTTAGGCTTCTTATGATAACTATTATCTTTCCTTTGTACTTGTTGGATACATCATGTTACATAATAGTCAAACAAGGCATTGTGCTTAGATCTATTTCATTTTACTTGCTAATATGTAAATGCTTTATACGCAGTACTACAAACTTCTCAATCCAAGACTATTACAAACTAATCATTTTCCTCTGAGATCGGCAATAGGGGTTCAAACAAGTCGAGTCGAGTATCTGCTTAATCGAGTTAGGCTTGTTTAATTCCTAATGAGCTTGACTCGAGCTCACTTATTGAGCTCAAACTCGGCTTAATAAAAAAAAAAATAGGCTCAGGTTCGTTAAGAAAGTTCCAGCTTGGCTAGATCATTGAGATCGATTTCTTAATTTTAAATTAATTTTTTTGAAGAATTTTTACTTTTAATATACAAATATCTGCATATCAGAAGAGTATTGGTAGATTTCATTAGAAATTCCTCTGTTACATCTGTTATCTTATGATTTCTCTGCAGCCCAGTTCAAAATCTTCAAGTTTCTCTCCTGTTTTCACTTGCATTTTGGACAATTTGCTCCTTATGATAGGCCACAGCACCCAATGGCTTTGGTACTCTGGGTATGCAATGTATATACTGCACCTTATCTTTTAATTGACAAGAACGTTTTAAAAATTGTAAATCACTTTGTTAAACGCTTTTAATGAATATGATCAATGATTTTCTCAATCTTCAATATGTTTCATTGGTCATGTTCTCTAAAAAAATTCCTTTTTTTTTATCCAGCTAACAACTCAGTTGGCACACAAGATTTCTGGTGGCATCTGACTGGATGAAGAAAACCGTTATGAGGAGAAATTATTCTGTGCGGAGACCGAATGCAGAACGCCGTCTGGAGACCAGCCAGAATACGCCACGTCAGTAGTACCAAGCCGCAGTACCGAGAAAGAGGTGTCATGCAATATTCCGGTTGATCTCTGTATAGCTTTGGACATTCGCATAGAATAGCATAGGGACTCGAGTTACATCTAAGGCTTTGTTTGAGACTGTTTTCTTACTGCTTCTTAAAACAGCTTTAAAAAACTGTAGAAAAGCCATCCCAACCGAAGTCTAAGCTGTAGAAAACAAAGCTCATCTTTCATTAACAAAGACTTAGTTTGGAACGGCTTTCTTACTACTTCATAAAGTAGCTTTTTAGTATAAAAATTTTATTTGTTATATTAAAAAAAGCTACTTTTAGCATATCAATTCTATTTATTGCTAGTTCATTTATTTGCAGCAAGTAAGAACTTGTTGTCCAATTAGATTACCTCAATGTAATAAAATTTGGTTGTAATGCAATATATCTTTACTTCTCTGTTTGTGTTTGATTTCTTTTAGCTTAACCCACGTTTTTCTCCATGCGTCCGTAAGGTATATTTTGGAAAGTTCGTGGAAGTTGTAGACTCCACAATCGTGACACTATAGGCTCCCTTTTTAGGATTAATTATTCTGGGCCGACACCTAGGAGGTAAATCAGAGTATGTCACGTCATTTTCTTACTATGTACCGCGGCTGTGTACCCATTATCTTGCTGTGTACCGCGACTGTGTACCCGTTGTGTCCCAGGTGACAAGACGGACTCTGATTCACCTCCTGACACAGAGCTACATCTGGTGTCCGCATAGAATAATTTCTCAAAAGGGGGAGAAGTTGGCAAAAAGTGATGGAGATGAGGAGGAATTGACTAATAACCTCTCTTTTACTTGTCTGCTCCCAGAGAGATTATTCTGTGCGGACAGCGGACAAAACTTACTGTCCAGAGGCGAATCAGGCGCAGCACGTCATCCAGTACTGAGCCGCGGTACCGAGTAGAGGGTGATGTGGTGCATTTTCATTGGGCTCTGAACGACGTTCTAAACCTGCACAGAATAATTCATCCTACTCCCATTAATTTTTTATACAAGTTGTTTCCCAAAAAAACTGTACAGAACAATCATGAGGCCAAAGCTCAAAAAAGAAGCCACTTTCAAGCATCAGAAAAATACTTGCACCGTAAAGATTGCTTCTTTTTTAACTCAAACTTAGCATTGAACCTCTTGTAACATTTTTCTGATTGTGCCTTAGCTCAAGGACAATTTACCTTCTTCTTCCACTCTTAGGATGCCACTCTGCTCCTCTGACTTGCCTTCTTTGTGAGAACCAATATGCTTCTCACCACTTGAAAACTCCTTCCATCTTCTTCCTCCAACACTGCCATGGATTCCGGCAATTCCAGCCATTTTCCTGCTCACATTGTTGACAGAACTTCTGACGAGGAGGCCTGGAGCTACAACCCTCCAAAGCATGGCAATGGCGGTGCATTCGATCCACAATCGAAGTGGGTGCAGGAATGGAATCGAGCTTTTCTTCTTGTGAGAGCTTCAGGACTCTTTGTCGATCCCTTGTTCTTCTACGCACTCTCAATCAACAGCGAGGAGCTCTGCCTCTTCGTCGATGGATGGTTTGCTGCCACCATTACTCTCCTGCGATTCATTACTGATGCAGTGCATTTATGGAATATGTGGTTGAAGATGAAGACAGTATATCACATGAAAAAAAGCAATAAAAAGGAAGATGGAGTGGTTGAACCGAATGTTCAGAATTCAAAAATGAAGTCTCAGAGGGCGGCCATGAACTATTTGAGATTGAAAAAGGAGTTCTTTTTTGATCTCTTTGTCGTCCTTCCAATACCTCAGGTAAGATTATGCTGCAACATAATCTTCAACCTATTATGCACAGACATTTCTCCTCAAACCTGACACTCCTCCGATATGTGTTGGACACGCTAAAAATATGTTCAATTAAAAAAATATTAATTACAAATTGAACACATATAAATTAAATATTTTATGAATTTTTTAAAATATAATTTGTTGTATTAAAAATTTTTACTTATTTAAAAAATAAAAACTAAATTTCTTATTTCCTATTCATAAAACAAACTAAATCATCCCACTTAATACTTCATTCATTGAATATTCTCATTTTAATTTCTTTTTGACGGGTTACAATTTTGATTTCACAATAATATTCGATGTCATCTCAACATTAATCTCTGACGTCATTACAACATCAGCATTTCAAAACAATCTCCATATCAAAGTTTGATGCTTTATGCTAGCAATTTATACACCCACAACTTGACATTTCATCTTTGTCAAACGTCTTCTCAAAATCCACGATAAACGTCCCCTTAACATTGACGCCCAATATCTACTGCATAACATCAATGCCTGACTCTCAACAGCATTGTCATCTCCTCTCTCGATGACTGATAAACAACATCAACGTCCGACTCCTGACATCCTAGTACTAATCATTTTAAACACAAATTCTTAAATCCTAAACCCTAATAATATCGTGTCAAACCCATGTTCATATCATATATTTTCAATAATTGACGTATTTCGTGTCCGTATCATATCGCATCCGTGTCTATGCATCATAGTCTTCAATTCATGGATTAGAACATACATGAAAATAAAAACTGCTGCAGGTTGTTCTATGGGTGGCAGTACCAGCTCTGATAGAACAAGGCTCCACCATGTGGGTTATGACCATCTTCTTAATCATGTTCCTCTTCCAATATCTACCCAAGATCTACCACTCTGTATCCTTCCTTCGACGGTTGCAGAACTCATCGGGATATATTTTTGGAACAATCTGGTGGGGAATTGCTCTCAACCTGATTGCCTATTTCATAGCATCTCATGTAAGCATTATTGATACTTCCCCCGTCACAATGCTCTCTCTGTTGTGGCAAATTATTCTATTCGGAGACCGCACGCAAGCTTACGTTCGGATTTGCTATGCTTTTATTGTATTTTTGCAAAAGGAATCTAATATACAATTTTCATTGTGTATTAGCTGTTCTTTCCCAAAATACAACAAATGCATGGTTAAAGCACATCAAATATCTTACAAATTGAGTATTTGATGTCCTTTTGTTGTGCTTTTGCAAAGCTCCCAACCAACGTATACGTAAGACTCGAACTCAAGACTCGTTGGTTGGTAGCCAAAGTTGGCTCCCAACCAACTCATATGAAAGACTCGAACCCAACACTATCCTTTTGCTGCTGTTTTGCTGAGTTTTTGCAAAAGCGCACCAAAAGGACAACAAATACTCAATCAGTAAGATATTTGTTGTGTTTTTACTGCACTTTTGATGTATTTTTGCAAAATGACAGCTAATACGCAATTAAATTATATATTAGCTGCCTTTTGCAAAAATTTAACAAAAGCGCAGCAAAAACACAGCAAATCCAAACGTAAGCTTGCGTGCGGTCTCCGCCTATTGTCACCTATCTCTTCATTTTCATTTGATACCAAAATCATTCAGGCAGTGGGAGCTTGCTGGTACTTGCTAGGAATACAAAGAGCCACAAAGTGTCTGACAGAACAATGCAGTGCTGTACAAGGCTGCTTGTTGCAGGCCTTGGGATGTATTGATCCCATATACTATGGAAGCACCACTGATATTAGAGAGAAGACGAGACTGATATGGGCTAACAGCACCAGAGCTACAGAGAATTGTTTGGGTAACAGTGGAAACAACTACAGCTATGGAGCTTACAGATTGACAGTTCTTATAGTTGCAAACACAAGCCGTGTGGAGAAGATACTCCTCCCTCTTCTATGGGGCTTGATGACCCTAACGTAAGCTATTAGTTTCAGTGTTTTGCATAAAATCCTTGTAGTTTGGATTTTTTTGTTACATGCAACCATTCATTGGATTTAACAAAAGGACACGAGGATTTAATGTGGGAAATTTTGAAATCGGGAAAAAACCACGGAGGCATACACACCAAAAAATTCATTATGAAAATTGGGAGAAATAAGTACATATCTCTCTTCTTCTCTCTTCTATTCTTACTTCTCTCCTCTCTTGCATCATTCTCACACAAAACATAAGAGAAAGCCAAGTAAATAACAACAAGGTACACCACCCTTCAGGAAAACGAGAAATAAATCTGCTCAATCCGCCTAAAAGCCCTATGGTGCCAGTTTGGAGCGCTGCAGCGCTCAAGCCTCTATCATCGAAGCTTTATAATACACAGATCGGCCCGGCCGATCGCCAAATCGTCCCAGGACGATCAGACCATTTTGGATCGTCCTGGACGGTTCCCAGAACTATTCTCAGGCCGATATTTTCTACAGTGCCAATCGGCCCGGACGATGTCCAAATCGGCCTGGACGATGTGTACAGAAAATCACCTAGAGCAAAACTGGGCACATTCTGGAGCAGATTTTCCACTGATCGTCCCAGGACGATCCAGATCGTCCTGGACGATCCTGGAGCAGATTTTTGATATTACAGTAGAGGCGATCGGGTGCACAGCGCCGAGGCATTATATAAAAAAAAAATTGAGCACAACAAATTAACTTGATGTCCGAGCCAACAGCACAACTCAATTGATCAACACAATCAGATTTCACACTGAACTACCATTCTCCTCTCACAAATCTCAAATCCTAAAACAAATGGTCAAACAGTTAATTACAATTTAATGATTTAATCATTGTCAGGTCAGATACTTTTCAGATTTTAATGATTTAGCAGCCCCTAAAACATTGTCCTTGTTCTAAAAAGCAGGAAACTGTAAAGAGCTTTATACAAATTTTCTTAAAATTTGATATGTATGAGTTTAACTACTTCTTGAATGGATGATCTGGCTATTCATGCTTTGTTCTACAGCACCTTTGGTGGAGCTCTTGTGAGCACAACAGATTGGCTTGAGATCATCTTCAACATTGTGGTGATAACAAGCGGCCTCATATTAGTGACAATGCTAATTGGAAATATCAAGGTCAGAAGAAGAAGCATTCCATTGAAATTATCTGATAGCAGCAATAGCGGCCGCTGCTGTAGGCTTCGTTTGGGACAACTTTCTTACTACTTAAAACAGCTTTTCAATACTAAAAAACTGCTTTAAAAAGCAGGAGAAAAGCTGCCCCAAATGAAGTTGTAGTAGTAGTAATGAACAAGTAAGAGCTGGTGATAATTGCAGGTGTTCTTGCACTCAACTACTTGCAAGAAGAAGACTCTGCATATGAAGATGAGAAGCATGGACTGGTGGATGAGGCAGCGGCAGCTGCCGAAGAGCATTCGGCAGCGTGTGCGACAGTACGAGAGGCAACGATGGGCGGCCATGAGAGGCGTTGATGAGTGCAACATGATAAGTAATTTGCCACAGGGACTTAGAAGAGACATTAAGTATCATCTCTGCCTTGACCTTGTCCGTCAGGTACATTTTGTTAAGTTGTATAGCCTACTTTTTTTTCCAAAGAAGAAATTATACAAATTTAGTTAATTTTTTTTACTAAAAACATGCTTTAAGAAGCAGTAAGAAAGTCATCTCAAACGAAGCCTTAGATTTAGTTTGGACAACTTTTTGATTGCTTCTTAAAACAACTTTTCAAAAAATTTTGTACTAAAAAGCTACTCAGTAAGAAAGTCATTCCAAATAAAATCTTAGTTGCAAGTCAATTATGAGTGCTTTTGAAAGTTGTGGTACCTATTTGGTGGTGTATATGATGAATTGAAGTTATAATTCTTCATAATCACCATAATCATATCATAATGAAATCTGCAACAACAACAATTGAATGAAGTCATAAATTTGTTGAATCTATATAAAATTTATAATTTTTTATATAATATTTTTATATTCCTTTTTTTCATAGATTTGATCCGTTTACCCGACATGTGTTAGATGTTTTAGCTACAACAAATTTAGCTTTATCATCTTATTCAATATGTTGGTTGGGAGCCAGCTTTAGCTATCAACCAACAGGTCTTGAGTTCGAGTCTTGCATGTGTTGGTGGGGAGCTTTGACTACCAACCAAGAGTCTTGAGTTCGAGTCTTACACATATTCAACCAAGAGGTCTTGAGTCCATATTCAACTACTCGCATCAGAGGTCTTGAGGTCATGAGTTCGAGTCCATATCCAAAAAAAATCATGGGATCTGATGCAAGCAGTTCCATATGCAGCAGTTGAATTGGACTGATACCCACCGAGGCTTAGAGTAGTTGGTGGGCGAGCACGGTTAGGATCCCCCCATCTCGGGATCAAATCCCCTCTACTACGGCTTCACCTTTTTAGTGGGTCAAAGCAAGTGTGGGCCAAATGCCGGTGGGTGGCCTGGTTAGGTTCTGCCAAGAAATTAGTTAAGCCGCAAGTACTTCCTGGCAACAGTTAGATACCCCGTTCAAAAAAAAAAAACATGGACTGATGTGAAGTCCTTGAATTTTGCAGGTGCCTCTGTTTCAGCACATGGATGAGCTAGTGCTGGAGAACATTTGTGACAGGGTGAAGTCTCTGGTCTTTCCTAAAGGAGAAACTGTAAGCCTTAACGTTATATATTTCTCATTGTTATTTTAAAAAATGTGTTGAATATTGCTGTTCACTTCAGCTATTGCAACGACGACAGGAAGAAGGATCTGCTCACCATTTATAAATGATTAGCAGACCATCATCAAAAGAAAAAATAATAATAAACAATATCAGTTTGTAATACTTCACTCATCTTTGATCAACATGATTCAGATAACGAGGGAAGGAGATCCAGTCCAAAGAATGATCTTCATCGTTCGCGGCCACCTTCAAAGCAAGCAGCTACTTCGCGATGGCTTACAAAGCTGCTGCATGTTAGGTCCCGGCAACTTCAGCGGCGACGAGCTCCTTTCATGGTGTCTTCGCCGCCCCTTTGTGCATCGTCTTCCTCCTTCGTCTTCCACGCTGATCACGCTGGAGACCACGGAGGCCTTCGGGCTCGAAGCCGCCGACGTGAAGTACGTCACGCAGCACTTTCGGTATGTTTTTCTGAACGAAAGGGTGCGGCGGAGCGCGCGGTATTATTCGCCGGCGTGGCGGACGTGGGCGGCGGTGGCTATACAGTTGGCCTGGCGGAGCCATAGGGTGATGGTGGTGGCTGGTTCAGGTTCCGGTTCGGGGTGTAGGGGTTATGCTCGACCGAGGCGGCCGGCGTCGAGGTGTGCGTCGCCGGGGGAGGAGCGGCTGCGGCATTATGCGGCGATGTTGACGTCGCCGAAGCCGCAAGCGGAGGGTTTTTATTGATATCTTCATTTGTGTTTGGGTAGTTTGTGAATCCAATGGGTTCCTTTTGATATATGGTATAAATTTGATGACTTTTATGATACAATTTAACTTAAGAGCTTTTATTGGAATATTTATGTCCCAAAAAAAAAATTGATTGGAATATTTCAAACAAATGTTTTTATTTTACTTAAAAAATTAACAAAATGAGAATATCATGATTAGTAAAACTTCTTGACTTTATTTTTTTAAAATTAATATAAAATTTAATTAATTATTTACATATTATATTAGAAAAAATTAAAACATTTTATAATAATTGTAAAATATTAAGTAATAGATAATTAGAATCGAATGGATAATCTATTTTGTCAAAATTTTCCTCTATGATAAGGAGAAGTTTATATAGAATCTTTTATGATTCAATATTAATAGTATACTAATTACAAAAAATTGCAAATATATATATTTATATTACATATAACTAATTTATATTGTACTCATTTTATTTCTTATAAATATAAACTATTATATAAAATAGTTTTAAAAACAAATGAATCGTTAAATATATTTATGTCTTCAATTAATTTTTAATTTAATTTCCAAGAAAGTCAGTCACTCAATAAAAAAAAATTTTATTTCTTAAAATTCTTAAATTGAGGCTCAGTTTATTTAATTGATCCAATCACATGCTTTTCAAACAAAAATATATTATAACATTTCATCTCATTTTTATTAGGCCATTTAAATAAAATAAATGAATTTAATTTCTGTTTATTATTTTCATAAGTATAAGATCATCTCCAACCGTTTGGCAAACAGCCAAATGGAGGCCCTCAAATGTCGCAATCGAACGTCATTTCTTCCGCCTTTTGATCGCAATTGAACAGTGCAACATCAATATTGCCGCCACACTTTTCACTTGCGTCATTTCTTTCTCTCTACCGAACTCGTCTGAGAAAGGCGCGAAAGAAACGAGCGATGATTTTGGAGCAAAATGAAGTTCCACTAGAGATGAATCACGGCATTTTTTGATTTTACTGCATTTTGGAATGAAAAATGAGAGTTTAGGTTGGAGCTGTCCTAATAGTACTTAACAAATAAATGCCACTCAGTCGCCCATTTTTTTGCTTAGCACTAACTCAGATAAAATTTGATTTAGGTCATATATAACACCATTGGACTAAAACAACTCATCTCCATGACTGTCAATCTAATGTGCTTCAAACTTTCAGAATTATTATTTTAAGACATTTAGGTCAATTAAATCAAATTTACACACAGATGACATACACAAGATTCGAACTCCGGGAACTTTTGATTTGTAATCAAAGCTCTCAACCATCAGACCAAAACGAACTACGTAACTTATAGAATTCTAACTTTATATGAGTGTGTGCATAAATTTACAATTAAAATTTTAAAATATTGAAAAATTTTAATACCATTTTTCTAATATTTTAAAATTTTAATCGGAAGCTTGAGCACACACTCATATACGATTAATTATTCTATACGGATGTTGAACGTCATCCGAAGACCAACCAGAATGCGCCGCATCACCTATTTGCTCAGTACCACGGTTCGGTTCCGCTGACATTGCGCATTTTGATTGATCTCCGAACAGCATTTTGCATCCGATCTCCAGACAGAACAATTTCTCATATGCAAATCTCAACCCCACAAACTCAGCGATGAGAGCTGAAGCTCCTAAAGAGGGGAGTGAGTTGGGCTGCGTCAACCAAATTTTTATAAAAAGGGACAATCACCACCAAAATCTAAGTTTTTTCATGGTACAAAAGTCTGAAAAATAAAATAGCAAGTAAAGAGAAGGCAAATGCCCATATGCCTTGATCATTCAGCTCAAGAGGGCAAATTCCTCCCAAGTTTGGCACCTTCAAAGCTAGGAACAGTCAGCAAGTTTCCACTATCAGACATGTAGAAGTAGTTGTAGTTTATTCTAGTAACCAAATCAGCCAGGTGTGGAAAGTGTCCTACATTGAGCTTAAAAGATAAGATCTGCATAAACAAAACCAGATGCAGTAACAATCATAAGAACTGCTCAGAAACTTCAAAAAATTTCGCCGATTTACAAGGAGAGAGAGTTAAGAAATTACTCGAAGAAGAAAGGCGATGCAATCGTCGAACTGCTTCTCGATTCGATCCACCTCCATTTCGCATCTTGCCCTGATAGCTGGAGCTGCTCCCACACTGTGCAGGCTCTGCTGTATGGAGTGAAAATCTAGAGCTAATCCAAGAATGCTCTTGACTCTACTTGCAATCAGAGCCCACTGCAAGCGCAGGAAAACAAATTAGTATTGAAACAGTCTGCAATCAAAATTATAATGAAATTTGCAAATGGAGTGATCTGATATAGCCATAAATTAGATGAACTTAGTTCAGCAAAATGCACATATATTTTTGTATTCATTAGAATGCAAAGGCAAAGAAGATTAGGGTTGACTGAACTAGCTTATCTGGGCCGACGAAACACTGTCGTTGGATCGACGAAAGGTAGGCCTCATGAACTTCTATGACTTCATCAAGAGAGCCTGCAGATGACATGGCAGTGCAGAGTTCAATCCAAGCACTGTGAAATACCTGTTAATAAGAATGGATCAGCTTTCTAGCAATGATAAAAAAAACAAATTTACACATGCCAATGGAAAATAAGGGAAAGATCTTTTACTCTATCCATGACATATTGATGAAATGCATCAACAAAATGGAGGAGTTTTTGTTCCACTAACAAGTGATGTTTGTGATTCTGCACTGCAGTCCTCCCCTACTTGGAAAAACTGGAATTTATCAGTTTTCTTTAATATATTATATATAAAATGTGGTCCATAATAAGATTTTGCAAATGAATGAAGAAATTTAAGTTACTGTTATCACAGAAAAAAAAATAAAGAAACTAGTTTTAAAACATAAGCTTTCGCTTAATCTAACCCCAAAGTTCAGTAAGTTGCAAGAACTCCCTTTAGACGATGACCTTGATTTTGTCAGTGGAGTGACGTGTCATTGGTTACTCAATTCCGGGGTTAGTAAAAACTAATATGTTAAGAATATAATATGGATAATTCCTAATCACAGTAGAGTTACATAATAATCATAACGACCATAGTTTATATTGACAATATATATGCTTACAATGCAAATTTAAAATTAGGTCCTATAAAGGGAGACCGACATACAATTGGCGTGAGATGATTGATGAAAAAGCTAGGTGACTAAGGCTTCGTTTGGGGTGGCTTTCTTACTACTTCTTAAAAGAGTGTTCTAGTACACAAATTTTAATTTTTGCATCAAAAAGCTGCTTTAAGAAACAATAAAAAAACTGTCCCAAACAAAGCCTAAATTGGAGAGATACTTTCATTGTACCAAAGTTGGGTAATAAAGAAGCCCCCTAAGAAATTCAGTGAGGGTAGAAATGAGATGGTTGAGATTGATTGATAGTAGGGATGCAAGCGAACCAAATGTTTGACGAGCTACTCATTGCTCGGTTCGATTAAAGCTCGTTTGTGATCGTTTAACTAACTAAACAAACAAACTTGAATAACATTTTAAATACTCGATCCTTAAATAAACAAGTTTGAACACTAATATGTTCGGTTCATTTATGTCCACGAACAACATCATTTGAAGCTCTTGAACAAGCTCGACATTAAGGTCAATAAGAAGTTCAATAAAAGCTCGATTCTTGTTTGATTCAGAGCTCGTGAATAAACTCGATAAAAATTCGATTAATATTTAACTATAAAATTGATAAATTTACATAATATAAACATTTTAAAGTTTTTATAAGATAATGAATTTTTTCATGAACAAGAGACATTTTATATTTATCCATGTTTGCTAGATTATTTGTTTAAGATGTTCATGAACAAATTTAAGGTTTGTTTGTTCAATAGATTATTTGCTAAATATGTTCACGAACATAGCTCGTTAATATTTGTTTTTTTAAAGCTCGATAAACACTAAACGAACCGAACATGAATCAAACATGAACACCGATAAATTAAGCGAACCAAACATGAACACAAACAATAAAGCTCGGATCAAACATGAACCGAACTTGAACAAGGTAATAATAAACGAACTCAAACATGAACACTCACATACTCGGCTCGGCTCGGCTCGTTTGCAGCCCTAATTGATAGTAAAATAACAAGGATGAGAGTGTGGTGTACTCATATTATGAAAGGCATATGATATTAGGAGGAATATGATAGAACCTTTTAAGACAAGTTTATAGGAGATAAATTTTGTTGATTTTGGCATGTATGATGGAAAGAACGTGATGATAACCGAAAGAAATGTATTCGAAGGAATTAACTACATAAAACATTTTACAGGAAACACACTCAGAAGGGTATTATCAGCCGAATTTCTGATGGATTCCTATTTTTGAAAAAGTATTACCAGATTATCAGAAAAGAAGAATTTCACATCACTTATTGCAACAGAAGGATTACATGCATTTTGAGAGTCCAAGAACCTGTAGAATAGTATTCAACTCGAAATCATCGTCCCATGATTCTCCCTTATCTATCTTGTCAAAAACTACAGTAAGGAACCTCTGCAGCAGGTCACCTGAAAATAAGAATATTTTCAAGCCCCAAAATCACTTGGCAGGAAAACAGGAACTTGAAACTGAAACTACCTGACCCAAGTAAATAAATTGAACGTATTATATTAAGTTCATCCATCAATTTCCAATCAGTCATTAGCTTCAAAAGTATATGTCTACCAATTTGATCGATCTAGAAGTAAGAAAATGAAAAAAAACATGGTTTTAGATCATTACTAACAAAAAAACACAAATAAAATAAGCTATTTACCTGCTTTTTAATATATACAGCAAGACATTCCTTTATGATGATATCAGGTTGGGGTGCAGCATTCAAATTTACATCTTGCATCCAACTAAGAATTCTTTGGGAAACTGTGCTGTTCTTCTGGAAAGGAAGAAGATCTGACACTGGGACACTTTCCTGTTCTAAAGCAAATTGTTTTCATGAGAATTAAAGTTAGATAAGCCCTGAACGAATGCTCTCAAAAGCAATTTTTGTTTTACACCTGAAAAGAAGGAAGAAGAGTTGGGAAGGAATACAAATATTCCAAATTCCTAATATCATCTTCTGCGTGAAGCAGTTTAACTTCATTATGATGAAAACCAAAACTGTAGTCTGTTCCAGAAAAACTTGGGAGAGAACCTCCACTTTGGATATTGCCACTTGCCTCTGCGCTGTTAAACCTTTCAGCATAAATAGCCTTTCGCAAGCTTTCATCGTTCAGAGGAGGAAGGTGAATGTACTTAGATATGTTAAGATTACTCCACAAGGCTCTGTGCTTTTCAATAAACTGTCTGGATACGGTCATGATTGGCTTATGAGGGTGCAGAGAGCTGATAAAGGTACTTGCCAAAATGTCACTATCTTTGGAATTGGTGCTATGATAGTCTGAATTATATTTAGGTTTCACTTTCATTGAACCATGAACTTGTGTAATTCCACTATGGCAAGAATCACCTTTTCCACCTTCTACATCTCTTCTCTCTTTTATTACATCAGCCAAGAATTTGATCCATATCTTCTCATGGCTTAATGATGCTTGTCCATCTTCTGTAACTCCTTTCAGTATCTTCTCTTTGTTAATGATCTCAACTATCTCAGGGAAGGATATTGTTAGTTTCTGATAAATGTGATCCCGATCACCTATTAAGCCTGCCAATGATAACAGGAAGACTTCAGGTAAGGTCAAAACTCCCATTAGGCGAGCATAATTGCAACTTTCTGCACATCCATGTTTTTTCAAAGTATTTGGCCAAGCCTCCTGCTGAAACTTCTGCCTGTTAAACTGACCATCAGACTCATTTGATAATGGAAAGTCGAGCTTTCTGCCACGCCCCTTATCGGACAAAGAAATGTAGTCGCCTCGAACATGTTGAACCAACTGCAAAGATTTCCCAGCAGATACAATGGGTCTTGCCAGTTCCTTCAGGAACATAGGGCAGTTAATATTGCTTTGATCACTCCCTCCTACAGAACTAAACAAGGGAGCAGATTCCTGACCTCCTGTTTCTCCCCTAACTTGTGGCCTAGTAGAATCAATATCCCCGTCAACCAGAGTATCATTGGATTTAGAGCTCATAGACCTGGACAGCCGAAAAAGATAACTGGTCTCCCAATATGTTGGCTGATCAACACTAATTGCATTATTGGCATAAAAGAAAACCTATGAAGTGGAGAGATAGATAGGGAAAGAACTTTAAGAAACTTGACTCGAAAATTTCATTAATTGGATCAATTTTAAAATAAATAAAAACAATGATCACGACAAATGAAACATTTCAGACTGAAAAACATAGTCAAAAGAAAATATTTAAACCATGAATAAATGGAGTGTTGATTGCTACTACTTCTATTGTTCTAGCAAATGACCCCTTAGTTGTAAGTCTTAAAAAAATAGTTCATTTACTTATATAAAAAACCATTAGTTATCCTTTTTACCTAGGATATTTAGCAAATCACTTCAAAAGCTTTTATGAGTGATAGTAAGCCCTATAAAGAGTTGGTATAAAACCATTTAGTTAAGATGCTCAGAATATTGAATATAAAGACTTCGAAGCAAAAGTGTAAATATACGTTATGCATTTTTCTCATTCTTCAATTCATCTTGCCTTTTCTGCAAACAAGGATTAGCTGCACAATGGATTCCTCCACAAGAAAAATGAGGACCTAATTAGTATGATAAAGAAAGAGACAACTTAAACTCTAGCGTATTCTAGAAAGAAAGATCGATTCACAAAAACAAACATTTTACAAATGTAAGGGTAAAGTTGCATCATCAACCTTTCCTTATACCCTATATTAGTGGCAGGTTCATGAACTAGATACACATATTTGAGCTTTTATGTTTAAGCGAGTGTAAGAGTTCATCATGATTCAAGATAAACGTGTTAAAACAAAAATAGAACAATCAAAAGGCTAAACCAACATAAAAAAATCACAAATACCTCCTCACAAGGATCATCAAGTAATCCCTCATACAACCATGAGTCCAGCACCTCAAGATATGGAAGCAAAGTTTCTCCCATGATGGAAAGCAACATATGATATGCTTCTTCCTGATTTCAGCACAATTTGTCTAGATAAAATTGTAACGGACGGCAAGAAAGAAAAAGCAGGTGAAAACAAATTATGGTTTCGTTTGTTACAACTTTTTTATTGCTTCTCAAAACAGCTTTCTAGTATAAAAAAATTTAGTTTTTTAACTAAAAAATTGCTTTAAGAAGCAAAAAAAACCGTCTCAAACAAAGCCTATATTTCTAACCTCACCACCTTGTACAAGATAGACTTCACTCATTTTCTTGAACAGAAAATTCAGAATACTAACAGCCATCTTATTAGCAGGGATTACAATTTCAGAATTTACATAAGCACTCGGTATGGATCCATGCACCACTTGAGCAAGATGCTCTGCCCCAGAGCACATACTGCAAAGCAGTGTGGCATATGAGATTAATCACATGACATAGAAGAGGAATATAAATAAACACAACTGCAAAGAAGTCAAGGTAATGAAGCTTATCAACACAATTTCCTTTGCCTGACTAAGGAATCAAGGGGATTTTTCAGTTCAACAACAGAAAAAAAAAAATCGAAGTAATTAGAGGTTCTCTATTCATTCTTCTTTGAGTATGTTCTATTACAAGACGTAGAAAATAGACATGGCCTTAAAAGGCTTGAAAAGGGGTTAGGCCAAAGCTAACATGGTTAGAATATTTTTCAAGAAAATTATGCTGAAAAAGAGTTAACACTAGGTGAATGTTCAGAAAAGAATTCATGGCAAAGAAAGATTGAAAAAGCCAATTCTTAACTAGTTGGGATAATGATCATAAGATCCTAACTTGGAGATTAAATTTACTAATGCACCCCAGGTGGCATAAGATACCATTTTGTTTCATTTCTATTATTAACTAAATAATAACAGTTTTGAAACTATTCATCACAGTGCGACTGCAATACTTCAATAAAACAGTAAAAGGTGCTTGGTAATTGATCTTCCAACTTCAACGTTAGTATACTAGTAAACTGATCACCGTCAATATCCTTCCCAACTATTTGAGCTCGGATAATAAATCCTTCTCCTCAACAAAATTCCACAGGCAGAATCTCTAATAAATAACAAATAGCTAATTGAGAATTGGAAGGATCGGAAAAGGAAAGAAATTTTACTGATTAAGAGCATCTAAATGAAAAACAGGACAACACTCAGGGGTTTCCTTTGACATATAACCAAATCTTCCAACTCTACAGAATTTTGTAATAAGAATAACTCCAAAATAGATTAGGCAGGCAATAACTTTTATACATGTAAATAAAAACTTGCTAAAACTGATCTGAGATGAAATATTAAGATCATGAACATGACTTAAGTTCATACTATACTAGGTCAATGGGTGGATTCAACACCATGAAAACTTGTTTAACTTCATCAAGGAACTACTTAGCATCTAAGCAAAGAATGGAAAATAACCAAGCTAAAATTAATGATGCATAATGAACTTGTTCAGGGCGAGTGAAAATTTTCATTTGAGAGAACACCTACACCAAAGATAGCAAACAGAAGATTTCAAGCAAGTCAAAATAATTGAGATGATAATGAAACTGCCTGACCTTGATAAGGAATTGGTCAGCTGAAGGAGTGTAACTGTTATTTGGCAATCTATAGAAGTTGACCTTATTTCCTCTTTCAAAGCAAGATCCCGCAATCTCTATATACAAAATAATAGAGATTACACAAAAAAAAATAATAATAATAAGCAGATGCAGACATCTAACGTAGACATTATGAAGCAAAATTACCTTGAGCCATGAATGGACGGAATGAGCAAAAGCCTGAAGGGTAGGAGCTCTTTGACGAGAAGCTTTTACATTCTTAACAAAGAGTTCCACCTTCTTTAAGCATGTTCCACAGAAGATAAACTTGTTTAAAATGCTGTGAAGACTAGTCTGGGATAGATGACAAGAAAAAATCCCACTCTTCAACAGAAATATTTGCCCACCCATATCCCAAGAAAATAAATAGCTGCAGAAACCTTGCAGCATCTGTAAAACGCCATGTACCTGATCAAAAAAGAAACATCACTATAGCTTTAGGTAATCATATACAAAACACGATTGTGAAAAGTGCCAATTAGCCATACACAGCCTATTGTTCAAGAGCATTGAGAAGGAAAGCTCTCTTTTTTTTTTCTTTTTTTTGGCGCAATGAATTCAGAAAGCCATGCAGATTAGTGTTTATTAGGTTTCATTTGAGACGGTTTTTTTATTGCTTCTTAAAGAAACTTTATAGTACAAAATTTTTAATTTTTTATTAGAAAGCTGCTTTAAGAAACAGTAAAAAAACCGTCCCAAATGACCCATTAGTCTGCAAAAGCACCTGAACAAAAGACCGTTCATTGTTCTTGAAATAAATATTCTCAAAGAAGCCTGAACAACCGAATTGGAAAAAAAAGGGCATAAGAATATTTAAATACCAGTTCCTTTTCATCCGCCTTAAAGCTAGAGACTGGTTCTGCGTGAGGCATGCCATTTGAAATGCTAAAATGAAGCTTCTTGATAAAACTCTGTTGATGCACCTCGGCCATTGTGCATGCATCAGTCAAGCAACAAGAATAATTGAGTCATAACCATGAATTCTAAATCAGATAGATAGAATCAATAAGCCCGTGATGTCCGTTATGGCGCTTCATGTTAGGATTTCGACAATTTATTTTCCCCTTCAGAGAGAAATGTTGATATTCCGTTAAAGACCTCAACTCTGCATAATGTAAAAGATTGAAATTGAAATGTAACATTCAACATGAAATCTTGTATAGCATGACTATGAAAAACTGTGCTCTATATTCGTGCCTACTACGTTGATTTTCTTGTATATTAATTAATCAATAAAAAATCTTAATCAATCCATATATCTTAACATATAGGGTTTTAAACTTAAAAAAAAATAGAACTAAGAAAACCTATTGTGGCTCAATTTAGTTTGCTTTAATTTTACTGAGATTCATTTTGTGAATTAGCACTAGTTTGATCAAGATTGGAATTTTGGAAAACAGAGAAAAAAGTAAATAACACTAAATCAAACTTTGAATGATGTACCTTGAAACCTAGAATAAAAAACAAAGGGTTGATATTAGATTTACTAGACTAAATTAAAATATGCATGATGTAACTTAAGCCATCTAATACAAAGAAAGAATAGTTGATCTTAAATTTAATGCATATTAAATTTTTTAAATTAATACTATATGTGAAACCAAACAAAATCTCGTTGAAAAATCTTATTTAAACTAACATAACTAATCCATTTTTTTTTTAATTTATAAACCAACTAATTGGACTGAATAGTTTAATTTAGTTTCATTTTTCTCAACTCTATTTTCTTTGTAGGTTGAACAAAATGAATTTCTTTTTATTGGATCATATTCATGAAGAAGCCTCTGGGATTCATGGAATATTGCAATGTGACCCCTCTAATAGAATAACATTTGTGATTCCATCAGGGAACCCCAATGATTGATCCTACAGATACATGGGAATTTAGTAGCTTGGAATCACAGCAAAAATAAGAATTATAAAAATCTTAACTTAACTAATTATTATGAATTTAAATGTCATTATGTACAAAAATGTTTAAAACTTAAATGAACTATTCACCAAAGCTATAAAATAATGTCTTTTTGTGTAGATGAGACAAATTTTGCATGAGTTAACTTACCCTATAAAATAATGTCTTTTTGTATAACCCTGTTATTCTAACTCATTTTTTTTTCTTGCGGATCAAGACACTTGTATACGACCCCTAAAAAATACACTTAAAAGATCTAATCACACAAAAAAATAAAAAAGTTCAAGCTATTACTAAAACTAAGCAAATAGACTTCAACAAATCTGATAGGAAATACTTGAGTTCACAAGTAACCCTAAGCGAAATACTTGAGTTTGCAAGCAAACCTATCTCTAATTGGTGAAAACAGCGAGATAAATCCGAAAATCTGGGCAAAAACAGTGCCAAAACAATGGATTGCAGGAGATAACAAAACCAAAACAAATGTCAAGCAAGATACAATTGATCCTCAATTCAAGAGGAGGATCGTTCTCTCTCAATCTCTAGACAAGATGCCTAGAGAGTAGAGCCCAGGACGCCAAACAAATTCCAAGAGAAGAACAAAACAAAGCATGAATACTAACTCTAGACAAATCCCCCTCATAATACAATTACTTTCCTAATACAAACCTAATTCAAATCTTTCTCATTCAAAATTCACTCTCTCCCCTAGCCACCCACTCCTTCCCAAAATTTCCATACGGGCCCCACACCTGGTCGGAATCAAAGGGGGTGGAACCCCTTGTTCCGCCTCCTGTAATACTGAGCCAGCCTCTGGGCCGGCTCCTAGGCCGGTTCAGGATGAACCAGCCTATCAATACCGCCCTCCCAAAGAATCACCTTGTCCTCAAGGGGAAAACTAGGAACTATTGTTTCACCCTATTAATTGTACGGCTCACACGTGGCATCGTAGTCCGGCAGATTCTTCCACTTGATCAGTATTTCTTTCGCTCCATCTTCTTTCTGACGAACCCCCATCAACTCTAAGGGGTCCATAATCACCTCTAAATCCTCCGTAAGCGTGGCCGGTAACTCTGAGCTGGCTGTGTAATCTCTAATGGCTCTTCTCAGTTGTGACACATGAAAAACCGGATAAATAGTCGCTATGGGTGGTAGTTTCAATCGATATGCTACTGCTCCGATTTTTTTCAATATTTCATAAGATCCAAAGTATCTTGGAGCGAGCTTTTCATTTTTTCTGTTAGCAACTGTCTTCTGTCGGTATAGTCAGAGCTTTAAGAACACTTTCTCTCCTGCTTCGAACTGGATGTCCTTCCTATGCCCATCAACCTATTTCTTCATAATCTGTTGAACTCTCAGTAGATATTCCTTCAATTCCTCTAACACTCGATCCCACTCCTCCAAATACTCCACTGAAGAAACTGGAGTATTGCTACTCCCAAAGTGCACAAAGTGAGGGGGTCCCTTCCGTACAGCACCTTGAATGGAGCCATCTATGAAGCCGAGTGAAAAGAGGTGTTATACCAGTAGTCCGCCCAAGACAACCACTTGGCCCAAAGCTTCGGTGTCTCCGACACAAAACATCTCAAGTAGGTCTCCAAGCTCTTATTAACCTCCTCCGTTTGACCACCTCTATGGGTGGTAAGCGGTGCTCCTCTTCAAAACGGTCCCCTGTAACCTGAACAATTCCCTCCAAAAATGCCTGAGGAACACCTTAACTATGTCTGACACAATCGCCCCTGGTACGCCATGCAATCTGACCACCTCTCTAATGAATGTTGAAGTAATTGTCACCGCGATGTAAGGATGTCGGAGGAAAATGAAATGAGCATATTTGCTCAATCTATCCACCACCACCAAGATCATTGTGAAGCCTTCTGAACGGGGCAGCCCATCTATGAAATCCATGGATATCTCCTCCCATACTCGTCCCGGTAGCGCCAACGGCTGTAGTAGTTACTTTAGAACCCTTTCTTCGTTGACGCGTCGGCATTAACGTTGTATAGTTGACCAGCTCCAATTCAATTTTTATTAATTTCTCATGTGCAATCATGTAAATGCGATGACAGAATGCAGATGCTGACTCAGTGACCTATTGACTCTATTAGGACCCATGGATAGAAATCTATAGGTGCTTTGGTTTGAACCATACACAATCTCCGGGGGCAGACTCAAACCCGTGGTTCGGTTGACAGAATTTAATATAGGCTAACTCGGCATCGTACTTAGAATCCAGTCTCTAAGGTTTTCCCCAACTAACGTTCTTAAGCGGTTTCCTAGCAATAAACTTCTGTTTACATACTTCGGTTTGACCATCGGTTACAGGGTGGAAGCTGTAGAAAACTGTAATTCGTAACCCATCTTATGCCAAAGTGTTTTCCAAAAAAACTTGTGAATTTGACATCCCTGTCGGATACGATAGTTTGGTAACCATGAAGTCTCCAATCTCTCAAAGTATAGCTTACGGACTCCGGGATGCATCAAAGTTTTGGAAACAGGGTAGGAATGGCCATCTTAGAAAACTATCAACGAACGACACAATACAAAATCGTGTTTTCTGAGGGTCTTGGTAACCTAATACAAAGTCCTGCTTACATCCTGCCAAGGGGCAATTAGGTACAGGTAGTCGTGAAGAGGCCTGTGTTTGTTTTCGTTGTTTGGCAAGTTGGCAGGTGTGACATCTCTTTATAAGCTTGCAACGTCGCGTTTCAGGTGGGCAATAGAATCTATTTCTAGGCGGCAATAGTTTTGGATTGACCAAAGTGGCCAGCTATGCCTCCCGCATGCAGCTCCAAGACTAAAATTCTCGCAGAGAGTATTCGGAATACAGAGTTTTTGGGCCTTGAACAAATAGCCATCCTCCAACAAGAAACATCCATTAAAGGTCCATCCCCATCTAGTCAGTAGGGTGTAGGTTTCTTTAAAATCGGGCAGTCCAAATAGTCATCTTTTAGTCGCTCAAAACCAATTACTTCGTCCTCATTCCTGGAGTCATCATTCTTCGACTGAGGGCGTCAGCAGCCTTATTCTCAATTCCTGCTTTGTGTCTATCGTGTAGTATATATCTCAAGGAATTCAACCCAACGGCCATGGTGGGCATTGAGTTTCTTCTGTGAATTGATGTATCTTAAGGCTTCGTGATCTGAGAATATCACAAATTCTTGGGGCAGTAATAGTGTCTCCAGTATGGAGGATGAATGACCGCAAGATTTCCTTGTCATAGGTAGAATACCTCTGAGAATGTCGTTCAGTTCTCGCTAAAGAATGCCAAGGGTGTCCTTCTTGAGATAAACTCCTCCTATAACCAATTCCTGAGGCGTCACATGTTACTTCAAAGACTTTAGAAAAATCGGAAGACGCATAAGCAGGGATTCCACCATTTTCTTTTAATATCCTCGAAAGCCTTAGTGGCAGCTGTCTTCGTAATGAATTCGCCTTTCTTGAGGCAGTCGGTTATGGGCGCCACATAGTGCTAAAGTTTCTAATAAACCTCCTTAGAATGTGGCCAATCCGTGAAAATCTGAACTCCCTTATAGTCTTGCTCAGCCCCTCATTAATCGCTCTGACTTTTTAGGGGTCTGGTGAAGATTCCTGAGGAGATATGTAAAATCCTAGAAGGTAACTTGTCGTGAGGAAACAGCACACTTCCCCGAGGTTTAGCAGTACAGAAACCTTTTCTTTCCTCAAAATTTCGCAAACTTGTTTCAGGTGTTCCAAATGTTGGTCTACCGATTTGGCTTAGATCAAATATCATCGCAAATAGAACGACACACGACTTTTCGATGAAACGGTCGAGGACTTGGGTCATTTAATCCGCATGATAAGTTGCTAGGGGCGTTTGTACTATCAAAGAAAATTGCAGCCCAGGATCGTCCTGGGACGATCAGTGGAAGATTCGCTCCAGAATGTGCCCATATTTGCTCCAGGTCTGATTTTCTGTTACGTATCGTCCAGGCCGATTGAGGGACATGCGTCGCAGGCCGATTGGCACCTGTAGAAAAATGTCGGCCATTGAGAATAGTTCTGGGAACGTCTAGGACTGATCCAAATTGGCTGATCGTCTTGCGACGATATGGCGATCGGCCGGCCGAAATCTGAAGATTTATAAGCTGATTTCAATCATTTGAGGAGAGAGAAAATCATTAAAAACGAAATATTAGCCGAGAGAGAGAAAGTCGAGAGAATTTTTGG